CTATTTCTTATTTCATTTTGCAATAGATGTACATAGATGGAAACTGTTCTTTTTTTATATGCATGTAAAGCTTCTTAGCTACTTTATATTTTTATAAGCTGAATAATATTTTAGACATTATAATTCAGAATTATTTTTTTTTATTTATTTTTTTTACACATTTTAACATAACTTTATCAGGTTTCATGAAATCATTTAATATATATTTAAAGCTTTATTGCATATTGAATATAAATAAACATTTGTTATTTAAATATTTATTATATTAAGAATTTTGTTACAATTATATTTATATGTGGATATATATATATATTTATTTATTATATATATATATTATATATATATATTTATTTATTTAAAACCTTTAAAGAATTTTAAATTAGAATTTTAGTTAAAATGATACTAAATACATTAAAATAATAACATTGATATAAAATATTTTGTTAATATTTTATTATCTAACATTTATATTAACATACAAATGCCTTGATACTGCTTCTATAAGGAAATAATCACAAATATTGCTTGCTGCATGTTATGCAATAGGCAAATATTCATTTCTCTACCAAAGATAAATTATCGTTTTATATTTTAAAAAAATATTTATATTATTACTAATGAAAACCAACATCAAGAATATAATCTTTGGTGGTGAACATAAAACATAATGAATAATGATTTATGTAATAAATGGCTAGGCTTTGTTAAATAGTCAATGTATTTAACTAAGCATAAGTACTAATTAATAATTTGTTTCTATTAGCTTGCATATTGGGAAAGGTATAGTAACTGCTTTTTATTAATTTAGTGAAAAAAAGCTGTGAAATTAATACTTTATTAAGCCTTATTATTGCACTTTTTAATACTAAATATATTTTGCTTTAGAATGTTATACATTGCATTAAAAGTTATTCCATTGATTAAAATATATTTTTCCTCCTTATTATTATTAGCAATATTATCAAGATTTAGTTAATGTTATATTATCAAAATTATTCCATTTTATTTTTGTTATTAGTAAAGTTGCTAACTTATAGAAATATTATAATATGAAAGAATGTAATACGTTTAATATGTAATAACATGAATATGTTTATTTATAATATTTTATTATAGTTGTACTCTTTGTACTCTTTAATAATTTCCTTGTAGCAATTACTTTATATCTTTAAATTAATTGCTTGTTATTCCTTCTTTATAAAATTATAAACTAGATTAGACTTAACTTGATTAGATTAAACTTATAAAATTATAAACTAGAACTTATTTTTTAAATTATAATTTTGAAAGTGTGATATTCATTACATATATAACATTCATTTACTTTACAGTCATATTATTAATATATATTTCTATTTTCTATATATCATCTTTATATATTGATATCTTTCATTCTTTTAAATTGCATTGTCAATTATCAAAATAACAATGTTTTTCTAAAATATATATGTATTAAATTATTTTAAAAAAACATATATTATATATGATGTATATTTTCTTTTAAAATTTCAAGACTTTATGAAAAAATTGAGACACTGTGAACAATATGTTATGCATGGTTAATAACTGTTATATTAAAATTATTTATCATAATATTTCTACAAATAATTGATTGCAACTTCTATTTGATTAACTTGATCATGAAATTTTTTTTCTATAAAACATCATTTATACTGTATTATTCAAATACTTCACTTTCATTTATTTCCATAAATTCACGATAGCAAAGACATTTTAATTAAAACTTTTCTCTACTAAAATAGTATTTTGTTAATATGTGTTTTACAGGTATATTGCGGTACAAAGTGGACTTTCAGAGTATGCAGTTGGAAGATGTCGAAGTTGATGCTTTTGATCTGGATGACTATTAAATCCGTGACTCAACAGACACTTTTAGCTTCAAAGGAAAACATAATTATATGTTTTCCCTTGCATCATACTTCAAGAGAGGCACATAAAAAGGACATGTTTATAAAATTTATTATATGATGCAACACACACGTCATAAGGTTATTCATTAGAATTCATTCAAACAATTCACAATTAATACACAAAAGTGAAAAGCACAACACGTGGCGCGCCGATAATCCATGTCCATGAAGAAACAAAGGCAACTCGAAGACTGTGACACTTAATTAAGCCAGCTTGATACCTGCCTATCTCACATAACATTACCTTATATTACAGTTACATTCTTTAATTATTCACATGGATTTATTTAACTAATTACACGCGTTACAGTGCTGGATATGTTTGTACAGTATACGGTTTAAAACATAATTTTGTATCAAATTGATGTTTGTCATCTTATCATGAATTTAGATTGAAAAAAAAAGAAACGGGAAAAGATACTTGAATAGCATGAAAACGAATGTAGCGTTATTTTTGTTCAGATACAACCATGGATAAGCTGTAATAAACTGATTATCATAAACATGAAGTTGCGTATCGTGTATTCTATACCGATTACTAAATTCATATGAATAATGAAGAGTTCTGTACATAGACTTAAATTTTTAATGGCACTGTTGCCTTAGACATAAGTTAAGATCGCGTAATATCCCAGGAAAATAAAATCTTTCCGTCTCTCATCGAGTGATACATATATAAACATATAAGAGATAATTTTTCGTATCTACATTAACTTTGCTAGCTCTTGACTCTTATATTTTGTACACTCACAATTGTATATAACAAATGCTCCGCAAATGTATCGAAATATATCTTTTCGATTGTTACAACGGTGCACTCCATTAGTAAAGAAATATCTTCTGCAATATTTAAGTAGCAGTTATTGAAAATATTACAAAATTTATTTTAACATTGTTAATTTAAATTGCTTATCCATATGATGCCTTTGTAATAAACAATAATATGTATGTATAAATGTGAGAAGAATGAAACGTGCAATTTTGGTGAAGTACCTTTTACGAAATGTCGCTGTATAGTAAAGAAAGTTTCACAAATACCGTGAATCTTTTGATGAAAATAATGTATTGTTAATTAATAGTATAATTAGATTATTTATACTATTACGCCGTATGTAATGCAGGGATAAAGCTTTATGAAAACTTCATCAAAATAGAACGTTCAGCAAAAAAAAAAAGACCTGGCTTATGGTATGTGCACAACGAATTCCAAAACATGATAGTTTAAAAGTATTGTATCTGTGTATTGTCTTCAAGGCAGCGAAATGTTGAATGTCACCTTAATGTTTCTTTAAATTTTTATATGTAAACATTCATTTAATAGGAATCTAGATAATTATTTATTACTAAATTGGTGCGATTATTTCTTCTGCTTTGCAGAAGATTATTTTAAGTGTATAAGTTATAGTTCTATGAGAACTTGGTAAATATTTGAAAGAGATTAGGAAAAAGCCGTATAATCTTAAATAATCTTTGGTCCTTTTTGTTTTCCGTTTTTGTATAAGGTAAGGGAAAGTGAATCTGCAGAAGAACGCATGAAAGAAAAGAAATAGACGTCGTACATCTCATTTAAACAAATCAATGACGTACTTAGATTATGGCTTGCCTATGATCTCTTCCATAAGCATAGTTGTATAATCTGCTAACAGATTTATAATTTTTGGCAATCTTATTCTCTTGTATTGCTCTAGCAAAATATTTTTGTTCTTTCAAATGTTACTTTTTATCTAGCAAGGCAATACAAAGATGTAATTGTTATAACTTTGCTTAATCAAGTTTTTCAAAAAATGAATTTAATACCTCATATTTTATATGTATTATACGCGTAAATTACACTCGTGCTATGTCCTAAAAATTTTAACTTGTCTTTACTCGAAATTATGATATAAATGAATTACAAGGATATAGTAAAAATATGAATTTCAAGTTTATATGACAAAATGTTGGCCGTACCATGATACATGTTCTATAAAAAATGTTTTGTGAAGTGACAAAGAGGGATATTGAAATAATGACACATAGCGATGAAATGATAGTTTATGATACTTAAATATAGTCTATGTGACGAAACATTCTAATTATAATGATAGAAGTTACCTCAACAAAAATATTAATTTATAATCATTATCTTTACTTTCAAGTAGTTAACTCATATATCTATTCAGATTTTCATATGTCTGTTTTGATAATATTAATATACAATTGTATCGTTATTCTGTTGTTGATAACACAAAATTGAAAAGAATATAAATTTTGTAAAGCTAACAATGAAATATTTTGATATGCTTTAAAAGCATGAGATTTATTGGCAATCAAACATTATTTCCAATCTCCCTTTTTTCACATACGCATTACACAAAATTTATATGCAAAGAAAATAACGTATCGTTAATATCAAAATTTAATAAGAATCAGAATAGAATGGAATATGAAAAATTGAATAAGAAGTGAAAAATACAGTCTATGTTTTTCATGCAAACATGTTGCTATTAGAACCCGAAAATGTCACAATGATGTTTATTTTCACAGGGCATATCCGAAATAACTATTTAGAAATATTTAAAAATTGTAAAAAATAAATAATAGCGAAAAGATAAAATGGGAAAATAGTTTTTAACATTTTTGCACTGTGATGGTTCTAATTACTATGAGGGATATTTCCGGGTTCCAATTATAACGTCTTTTTACATTTTTGTTAGTGCTCTCCCTTTTTATACATATACGTAAGTTTTACATATATGAAATACTGGAAAAGATGTCTTTATATTATTGGTAAGATATATTTGCCTATGGAATGAGGTGCTGTTGAATAGAAATTTGACTAGAAAGGTGAAAAGAATTTGGCATAATACAATAAAAAAAGGAAGTGCTCAGTGAAATACATTTTATAATATTTTATACCTGGTTGTACCTAGACACTTTTGCCTAGTATGTATATTTGGACAGATATCGTTCAATGTATTTATTTCTTTAATTTTTTTGAAATAACATTAGTAACACAGTCTTGTAAAAATGTTAAATTATATTTATATATAGATATAACAGCTATATTACACTAGAACTTTTTATACTTGTATATTTCACATGATAGAAAGGTATTGATGTTAAGGACAATAAAAACAAACAGTTATCTACACTTATAAAATATAATGTAAAAATTAAACAGATATAAAATTATAGGAAAGATGTCACTCTTTTATACAATATTTTATATATTTTTATTCATCTACTTGTCATCTTTATCTGGTACCAAGAGATTAAGATTGGCATCTTTAGTCATTGATCCTATGAAAGTTTCTTCATCTCCACGAATAGATAACGCAGTGACGGAAATATTTGTTTTTCTCTCATCCATCATTGCAGCTTTTGTCCAATTTGAACTGCTGCATTTTATACAACTATGCGAAGGTATTCTGTCCAAACTCACTGTTCTGTTTCCACAATCTCCACATTTGAAGAATCTCTTCACTGCATCAGCAACACGCAATGGATGATTTTGTTCTTTACACATGTCAGAAGCAGAAAATGCTGTATATTTACAAGTTATGCATTTAACAGCTTTACAAGGGACCTTATAAGTAGTTAACATTTTCTCTTCCATTCTTTCTTTCATTTCTAGTTTGCTAAAATATTTGTCTTGTTCTTGCTCATAAGATTTTTCAATGAGATCAGTATGAGTAGATTTAGCTTGCATCACTTCCTTAAATTTATCTGACACGACATGTAATCTCTTTATTTCCTGTTTTTCATCATTTTCTGACTCTCTTGGTCGTTTTTTTCCTTTCTCTAGTTTCTCTTCTTTGGTTAAACGTACTTTGTTAGGATCTTTAGCTTTAATTTTTCCATTTTCTTTGACCCATTTAACAGCATTATTTTTAGCTGTATTAATTTGTTTTTTAGTTATAGGCTCTGACAAATCTATCGTTCCTCCCAGACAACCAATACCTAAGCGAGGGCTTGAAGATAAAGAAGATAAGCCTTGTTTTCTTATATTATTAGTTTTACAGGAATTTAATTGTGTTAATGTGGATGAAAAGGATGTCTTGTCATTTGAAGATGTTTGAGATAATACAGTAGCTTTCCAACCTCTAGATTTATTCATTTGTTCAAAGTCTTTTTTTATTTGTTGCCCTAATATATCTGTTTTTCCATTTTGATCTTTTACATCTAAGCTTTTATCAGTTGAATTATTAGTCTTCTGGCTTCCTGAAAGTAATGCTAATCGTTTAGCATCTTTCTCTGCCAATTTTTTATTTTTTACAGCAACAACAGCATGGAATTCGGGCATATTGTTGAAAAATGGTTTTTGTTTATTCTGTGTTTTTTGTTTTAACATATCTATTGAAAATTTTTGACTATTACTAAATGCTTGCAATTCTGTTCTTTTAGAACATTTCTTGTACTCTTGTTTGATATGATACAAACAAAATTCACAACGACTAATATTTATAATAGAATTACAAGATTCTCCATTCTTCTTTTTAGATTTGCATTTCCCCATATCTTTAGATTTACCAAGTATCATAACTCTTTGAGGATTATCAATTGACAATGTTGCTAGATCGGTATTGTCTTTAGATTCTAGAACATTTGGATTAAGAATAGCTATCACAGTTCCAACAGTAGTTTTCCAAAGTGATTTATATGCATTACTAAACATAAAAAGACACACGGTATTCATAGCATCACATAAATCACTTATTTTCCATATAGCATATGTGCTTCCCTTTTGAGAAGTTTTCGGTGCAGATTTATTTATTAATACTCCTGCAATTACCCAGTCTTTTTCTGATTTCTCTGAATTCAGATGATATTTTATTTTCGATACTGTTACAGGTATTTTATCAATCATACGTGCTTTCAGCTCCATTGAAGAAATTACTGGCCTGATGATTCTCAATCCAAAAAATGGGTCACTGTAAACATCTTTTGATTCAGTGGCATTATTTGGTACTGTATTTACATTTTTGCTGCTCTTCGTTGCACTAAAATTAAATGTTTTACTGCTTTCACGTGGCAGTAATCTCTCTTCATCTTTTTTGATACTTTCCTTTAATAAAGATTTTATATCACGTCCATAATTAGAATATTTTTGTTCCTCGAAATAACGCCTGTCTTCATCATCCGAAGAATCAAGTCCATCATCATAAACTTCACTTTTCTCCTGATGATCAATAGATTTACTCTCATCATTAGTTTTAGGTGTACTGTCTAAAAAATTAAAGTCTAATTCCTTCAAAATTTCTTTCTGAGTTTCTTTTTGTGGTGATTCTTGATTTTCCTCTGTATCATCGTTAGCTAAGAGATCATTTAAAACATCGTCTACATCAGAATCATTATCCATTTTAAATATCTAGAAAGAAAATCACTTGTTATAATAATTATATGAACACAATTGATATTTTATTAGCTTTGAAAACATTCAATTAACCTTTATTACTTACAAATTTCAAATAGGAATTGTTTATTTCTACTATAGAACGAGTTATAAAATTGCAAATTAAACAAAATTACACTTTTAAAGCTACTTATTAGTCAGCTTTATCAGCTTATCAGCATACGTTCATTGCACAGTGATAAGCTACAGGTAATCATGATACATTCTGCCATTTTTCCCGCCATTTCTCAATGATAGAGCAAGCCTCGTTTTCATTACATGACCGAAAATTTACTTTTTTTATTTATTTCACGTTGATAAATAATTTTTTATTACGAATGCAATATTCTTTTTAATTTTTATTCAGTTACTTGACAGTTAAGTATTATTCCTCTCTAAATAAATGTAGTCGCAGTAATGGTTCAAGAATTGGACATAGAAATAACCAATAAAATCGAATGTTCAGTAAGTACTTTTACTGCATAATAAATAAATTATACGTTTATGATTTGAGAGAGTATTATATTATACTAAGAAATATAATAGTTTTAGAAGTATTAAAAATATTTTTAAAGAAATAAAACAGTTCTGAAAGTATTAAGTTATTAGACTAAGTTAGTTTTAAAATACATTTCGTTTGAAAATGATACTCTTTAATATCACGTAATTCATTAAAATTGTTCGAATATTCATTCAAATGAAATGATAGCATTTAGAAATACTTGCTACCGATATAGGTTAATGTATAGGAAATATCAATAAGATTTATTTATATCTATTAACGATTTTTTTTTAGCGCGAAGGTTATCTTTCCAGCAATCCGTAGCAGAAAAATCGACCGACACATGAAATATTTATTCTAGACATTACAGGCAGTTTAAAGGACATCGAAATGACTTTGGTAGGAGGAAAAGTAACACTAAAACTTTCTCGTAGATGGATTTGAAACGTATTTTTTATTTCTTCTTTGGCTTTTCAAAATGATACGTAATAGCTTTTTATTTTTTTAAGTGAGTCTACTTGCGAATTGAAATTTTACAATTCTTTATTATAATATGGTTGTTATGAATAAATTAATCAAAATAATCGATTCAAATTTATGAATATAAATAATACTTGATGTATTTGAAATCATTCTTTATTCTATTCAGTTGCAGGATCATGGTCACAACGAAATAAAATACACTTCTAGAATTCCTCTGAAGACAGCAGGAAATTTTATTTTAAACATGTGTGTTTCTACATGTACGAACGATTATTGAGCGAAATAAATAGCACGGCATGCACGTTCGTTTTAAATTTGCGCCGCAGTAATCATAGCGTGCAAGTCATTTCATATTCTTTACGTAAGCTGCCATTTGCAGCGAGTAGTTGTATTTAATTGCCATTACTTTGTGTTTATTCCATAGAATTGAAATAAAATGTTCAATAGTTTTCCTAACGACAAATAGGAAATATAAAATAATAGAGATCAGCAGATAGTAGAAATATTAATACAAATGTAATGCAAATAGTAGAAGTATTAATACAATTTTATAAATAAATTTCTAACGATTCTCTATAAGTAATAGTAAATAATTATATGATTAATTTTCAGTGACTGCGAAGCATATGTACACTGTTACTCTACTTGCTGTCGTGGAACCATCGATCGATTCGAGCAATAAGCCATCAATAAAACATTTTCTCCGGTACACCTTACTGTCCATCGGGCCTGCACTATGCAACCATATTACTTTCTATATTTGTGAGTGTAACATTTCTCGGCACGAGAATTTCCTTCTCCGGCATCGTTGGAAAATCGTTTCTCTTTAATATATAATTTTCAAGAAGTACTCCAACTCTATATCTCTGCTTTGTAACGGATGAACTGTGTCGGTTGGCTTATCTATAATTAAAACTCAATACGATTCGTTCTTTAGAACGAAATTGTAGGAACAACATTCCACGTACTTCTTCCGCTGCAAAAATTCATTTTAGAAAGAAACGAAAGCTTGTCGGAAAGTTTCACTTAACGACATTTTAATTTCATCGTTATCTTTTTTTGCAACTTTGTCGATGAAAACGGAGAAAAGAAAAGAAAGGTAGACGATCCTATCGAAGCACGCTTTAACGTCCCGTTAAGTCATCCATCTGCTTTCTACGAGGGGAAGGTGGTTTTCTCCAGATCTGGTTCGAAATAATCCGCGGCACGAACACACCAATAGCATCCTCCACCTGCTAATCTCGAGGAAAGCTGCACGTTTCAAACGGCTTCCACCTGTTAGTCTTGGGGAAAGCGTATGGTTACGACGTTTTTCGAGTAGAACAACGCAACACACAGTGGTTCTCTCTTTTCCTCTTTTGGTTAGGTCCCGATACCATCTGCAGCCTACGGAAAATACAGACGTATACTGTCTCTGCAGAATAAATATATAAGCACGTTTCAACTCCATTGGGAATTTTTTCATCGAACAACGAAACGAAATAATATACACGTTAGTCCCGTAATATCCAAGCCAAGAATAAACGTACCCATTACCATCGCTCGCGTTTCATTAATAGGAACATTCAAGAAATTAACATACATATGTAGAATAAAAATCGCGTGCGCGCGAATGAAATTAATGCATAAAAAAAAAACTGGGAATTTACGGGCGGTTGCGGGTATCAATTTACAAACGATCGATTAGCCTTACATTAGTGTATACTGTTGAAAGTGCTCGGTGGTTCGCGTCGCGGTGAAACGCGCGCGCTCCACTATACAACCACAACTATCCATAGCAACGTTGTTGTCAACATAATTTCCACGAAGTGACGCGTTCCCTGGAATCGGAAGGAGACGCTAGCGCAACGAAGCTGGAGTAATATCCTTCATTTTTTTTTTTTTTTTTTTTTTTTTCCCCTCTTGACGAACTTGGTCGTGACTTGGCTCGACAGAGCTAGTAGTTTACAATTTCGTCGGTCGGAGTCACCTAGGACCTAGAGCATCGCCAGTGGAAAAGGTAAAATAGGGAGGGCGCGTGCCTTGCCCCTTGACCCCCTCGTCGTACTCGTGCGTGACCCCCACCCCTGTTTGCCATCCACTCACCTACCCCGACCCAGTGGCCCGCGGGCAACCCCACCGCGCCCCACCCCTGCGCCGACGGCGATTCGACCCCGCGCGCGCACCCGTCTCGAGCGTCGCGCTCGTTCGCAGTCCGTCAGTCTATCGGCAACCTGCGTACCAGTCGTGTCGCAGTGCTTACGTAACAATATATATTATTATTATTCTTACTTGCCTGACCAGTGTGTTGTTCATTTATAAATCGCGGTCTACATTTATTCTGTTTATCCCTCGCCGAGTTACTCGTCTTTCCCGCTCGGTCACTTTCTAATTGGTTCAATCGACACGCAATTGTATACGTATACGAAAGGGTCAATCATCAACGTTTGAAGCATATACATATCTCTTGTCGATCAACTCATATAAACACACCAAGAAATATTTTATGTATATATATATATATATACATAATATATATATATATATATATA